GTCTTCTCTCCACCACTGGAGCGCGGCAGGGGACTGTTCTGGCCACATTCCTGTTCATCCTATACACCTCGGACTTCAGACACACCACTCCAAACTGCCACCTTCAGAAGTTCTCCGATGACTCTGCGATTGTTGGCCTCATTACAGAGGGGGACGATCGGGAGTACAAGGGACTGACGAAGGACTTTGTGGACTGGTGCCAGCAGAATCACCTCCAGATCAACCCTAGGAAAACTAAGGAGTTGGTTGTGGATTTCTGCAGGAAACAGTCCTCACCAGCACCGATGAACATCCAGGGTATGGACATAGAGAGGGTGGTCTCCTACAAGTACCTAGGTGTTCTTATAAACAAACTCAACTCAACAACAGTCCTCACCAGCACCGATGAACATCCAGGGTATGGACATAGAGAGGGTGGCCTCCTACAAGTACCTAGGTGTTCTTCTAAACAACAAACTGGACTGGTCTACAAACACGGACACCCTGATTAGGAAAGGACAGAGCCGACTCTTCCTACTCAGGAAACTGAGGTCTTTTGGGGTTCAGGGGTCACTCCTTAAGACTTTCTATAACTCGGTGGTGGCCTCGGCCATCCATTATGGCATTGTCTGCTGGTCAGGCAGCATCTCGGCCCGGGACAGAAAGAGGCTGGAGAGACTTGTCAGGAAGGCCAGTTCTGTCCTGGGCTGCTCCCTAGACACTCTGGCGGAGGTGGGCAACAGGAGGATGCTAACTAAGCTAAAAGCTATGATGGACAGTCCCTCCCACCCCCTCCAGCCCGCCCTGACAGCACTAGGTAGTTCCTTCAGCCAGAGACTGTTACACCCGCGCTGCAAGGAGAGATACCGCCGCTCCTTCCTACCGACTGCTGTCAGGCTGCTGAATAAAAAATAAATAAATGATGTGGAAGACTATTGTAAATAGCACTATGACCTTATCCATATCTGTATTTATATTGCCCTTAATTGAACGGTGTTTGTTTTTTTGGAGACAATTGTATTGCAGTTTTTGTGATAGAAAGTTTTTGGACAGTATATTTTTGTATTTTATTGATTGTGTTGTTACACATGCATTTTGTCAACATACTTGCAGGTTCATAAAGGACATGTACCATGCTCATTTCCCAAATGAGGAATTTCTGTTATCAGGACAAATTGGACAGCGCAAACACAAGGCCGCACTAGAGAATATTTACTGTATTATAAAAAGGCAACCAACTGACAGAAACAATAAAGTTAGAGATTAAAATTTAGATTAACGCGATTAAAAGACATAACGCGCTAAATATGACTGTAATTAATTATTCACAATTAACGCGATAAATTGACACCTCTAACAATACGCTCTTTCTGTTTATACGTTTCCTTGCCTGTAGATTCTCAGTAAATTAGCTCATGGTTTTCCGCAAAACTTGAAACAAGGCAGCTAGACTCTTCATAACTGTTGAAAACATTTCACCTTTAATGCAAAAGGCAAATTGCAATTGCAAGTGTGGAGTCACCCTATTTTTGTCTTTGGTGGGTTGTATCCCGTCGAGGTCACTGCTTGATGGTTGTGGTTGCTGTGGGAAAAATAAAACAAACACTCGACCCTTTGAGCAGCGACTTTCAAAATTTTTATCACTTCAAAAAACCAGTACTACAGCAGCACTGTACATGAAAGCAAAAAAAAATTGGACTCCTCTGTTAGTGAAAAGGCAGTTCTAATATATGAAATGCAAATGTATTGTACAGTTGTCAGTTCGGTCTTAATGGTGTTCCAGGTGTAGTGAAGGGCGTTTCCCTCCAGCAGGTGCAACTGTGCCTCATTTCCCCATCAAGCCTAGCCATGTATTTAAGGACTTGACTTCTGCTAGGGCTTGTCGGATTATTGACCTTGTTGCTGCTCTTGCTGAAGTGTTGTTTTTCCAGACCTCTCGATCTCGTCAGTCGTTTTTGCCTGGGTTTTTTTGTTTTTGACCTTGCTGATGTTTTTGTTTTTGTGAAATTGGACTTTTGTCATTGTTTATATCTTGGAGTTTTTTTTTCTTTGCCTTTGCAAGCACTTTTTGTTAATATTTAGTTTTCCTGCTGCTTTTGACTAGCAATCTCTCTTCACTTTGTCGGTGCGTTTTTGTATTAAATACTTTTGTACGGACTTTTTTTTTAGTCTACGTTTGTGGGATTCTGATTGCTGTTCAGTTTGTTCCCGAACTGTGTCAACAGTAGTGCCTGGACTTGATCATGAGCCAATTTACAAGTTCCATATGATTTTTTTGCCTAGTGCTGCAAGCAAAGATTTGAGTTACGGATGTAATTTTGACCCTAGACCAGGGGTCCCAACCGCCGGTCCGCGGACCGGCACCGGTCCGCCGGGAATTTGGTGCAGGTCCG